CCCCAAAACCCCAAAACCCCAAAACCCCGAATTTAAGAAGGGAGATTGGTTTATGAGTAATAATTATGGAACTTAACCTTAACCAGAAGGGGAAGAGGAAAATGGCAAAGTCTAGTAAAAAGACATTTGTTAGCAAAGGTAGTAGATTGTATATTCCAAAAGTGATTGAAGACTCTAATCTTAGAAGGCTAGGATCTCCAGCTATCATATCCTTGAAGTAAGTCAAATTTTGAACTTCTTTATTTAAAGATTAGTGCTTTTCACAATTTTGAAAACTTCACAATTCTCAGCTAAAAATAATTTAAGAGTTAAGTGAGATGATGGTCTAAAACCAACCTTCAAATTGGGGAAGAGTAGCTTATGTTTTCTATGATATCTTTAGAGCATCAACACCATCTCTATCCAGCTATACTTCTATTAATAGTTTTTACAAAGAATTCTTTTGGAAATTTAATTTAGATGTAAGTTTTTTGAAATGAGCATCATTTATCCTCTATGTTCTCTAGCATAATCCCAATTAGACTAACACCTATCTAGACTCAGATCAGGCAAGGCTCTCAAGCAACTAAAGCCGAAGAAAGATTCAAATGTAGGTGCCTTCTTATAATCCCCACTCTACATTACTCCCAACCAAAACGAGTTCACCATTTCTCCACCCAAGTTCTATTTCCAGCACAGGCCCAATATTCTACCAGAAATTTAGAGAATTTTTAAGACAGAAAAGTCTCGAAGAGATTTGAGGGTGTGGGTGAAGAGGTTAGGGAGGGCTTGGGGAAATTGGAAAATTGGGGGAGGGGCTGGGAGATGGTGGTGGATTTTGGGTGGGGGGTTTGGGAGGGGTAGGTGGGGTTGTGGGGGTTTTGAGGTGGGATAGGGGTTTGAGATGTATAAGGTTTCTAAAGACTGAGAAATTAAGTTTGGATTTGGATTAGATTAGTTATTAGCTTGGATAATTTACTGATTTTATAATAGGACTTGTTCCAAAAATTGTGCTCCAAAAATAACCACTTCAGAGTCAAGTCTAGAGCTATCAAGAATATGCACAAAGTGGATTTGAACAATCGTAGGAGTAAAAAGGCTGTTTCAAGAAAAATAAAGGCTAAATTTAAAACTTTCTCCAGAGACGATAGGATTCTAGAAAAATGCGAATTGGTTCACAAAAATTTACTGCAAAAGCTAAGCATAAAAATGGAGTTGTCCAAGTACTGAAACGGAAGATTCTTCTCTCCCCAACGCTTGCAAAGAAAATTAATGAGCCCAATAAAGTAAGTATTTTGTATGAGCTAACTTTATTATAGTATTGATAGAGCCTTCAGAAATCCTAAAGCTCATAAATTTGAAGCAACTAAGTATCTTCCTGAATTGAGCATTCAGAGCATTTAATAACTTTAATCATAACTGCTGTTTAATTTTTTTTGAAGTCTTATTTACTTAATCTGGTCCATGAATGAGGTGTCCAACTTTTCTTACTTAACCAATTTAATTAAAAAATTTGGGTCCATATTTTATCTAATTTTCTTCTCTTTGGAACCTTGACTTGTCTAAGTTTTAGAAATATTGGTGAACATGGTTTCTTAATTATCTAATAATCTTTCTGAGTTTCACTATTCATAAATGATAACTTCTCTTTATTATTTGTGAGCGAATATAATGAAGAAACTTTGGGAAGGATGATCCATATGTCAAGAACAACTCTTGTTAATATAATTTTTCGATTCTCTAGTCATTAATATTTTATCCTCAGTGAATTATAAGCCAGACAATTCAGGAGAATTGGTGAATATGATAGAATCTTTTATGAATAATTTATATAGCTATCACTTTCTGAAACTTTTGGATAGGCAGACTTCCCTCTATACTCTTTGAAAGCTATCAAAGAGTAGTACAAATAAGAAGATATGAGCTTATTATTCTTAATTCTTATAATTTTGCTTTATTATTTCAGCAAGAATTGGTAAATAATTTCAATTTTAATGATTCGAGTGACCATAACCAAATTTTTGTTCTGAATAACTTCTATAGCTTATATAAACTCATTAGACACTTCTTAGTATACCAAAAGAGGTTAAGATAAGATTTTGCTCAGATTTTATTCTCTTAAAGCTCAAACAACAATATCAGAATACTCAAATACTAGGAGACATGAAATATTCTAATTTACTTATTTCGATATACCATAGAGAAAGAAAACTTTCATTTCATTCTCAATAAGTCCTCCCAAATCCAGTTTATTGCTACATGATAAGTTTGCTTCTTCATTCCTTGACTAAAATTCTGACCTAATAGCACTAAAATTTATGAGGCTTATAAACTTCATTTTTCATATTGGGAGTTTATTCCATCAACTTAGTCCAAGAAGATATTACAATTCTAAACTAGGGAGAACCAAAATAGGAATGATTAGATATCGAAGGGACAACTTTAAAAAATTTTATGCGAAATAACTTATGTTAGTACGACATTTTGCTGTTTTTAACACTCTGAAATTTTTTCATAACCTCCTATTTTCAATAAACACCAAAGCCAACGGGGTTTTGGGGTTTTGGGGTTTTGGGGTTTTGGGGTTTTGGGG